ATGGTCTTGATCTCCTGACCTCGTGATCCACCCGTCTCGGCCTCCCAAAGTGCTGGGATTACAGGCTTGAGCCACCGCGCCTGGACTATTTCTTTCTTATTCCTTTTTCTTTTAGCTTCTCTCTTCTCTTTCCTGTTTTTCCTTCTAGCCTAGCTTTTTTTCCCATCAATCACTTAGTACCTTCCTCAGAATGTTCCCAACACCCTGCCTCCTTTTTCTCTTTCCTCACATCTGGTTTCCTTCTTTCTTTTCTTTTTTCTTTTTTTTTTTTGAGATGGAGTCTCCCTCTGTCACCCAGGCTGGAGCGTAATGGCACGATCTCGGCTCACTGCATCCTCTGCCTCCTGGCTTCAAGCAATTCTCCTGCCTCAACCTCCTGAGTAGCTGGGATTATAGGCGCCCGGCACCACGCCCGGCTAATTTTTGTATTTTTAGTAGAGACGGGGTTTCACCGTGTTGGCCAGGCTGGTCTCGAACTCCTGACCTCGTCATCTGCCTGCCTTGGCCTCCCAAAGTGCTGGGATTACAGGCATGAGCCACTGCACCCAGCCTGATTTCCTTCTTTCTATATCTGTTATCTTCTCTCCTCAGCTCTTTGTGTTTTTTTGTCTTTTGTCTTCAGACTTGATCCTGCTCCCTCAGCATCTGCATTGACTCCTCATGCTGGGACGGGACCCGTCAACGCCCCTGCTCGCTGCTCACGTACCTTCATCACTTTTAGTGATGATGCAACTTTCGAGGAGTGGTTCCCCCAAGGGCGGCCCCCAAAAGTCCCTGTTCGGGAGGTCTGTCCAGTGACCCATCGTCCAGCCCTATACCGGGACCCTGTTACAGACATACCCTACGCCACTGCTCGAGCCTTCAAGATCATTCGCGAGGCCTACAAGAAGTACATTACTGCCCATGGACTGCCGCCCACTGCCTCAGCCCTGGGCCCCGGCCCGCCACCTCCTGAGCCCCTCCCTGGCTCTGGGCCCCGAGCCTTGCGCCAGAAAATTGTCATTAAATGAAGAGACGTCTAGTCCTCAGAAACTTCTTTCCTGCCCTGATTGGGGCTCTTGCTGTTCCATCTCCTCTCCCTGCTTCTCCCCTTTGTCACCTCTGATCTTTGCCCTATCTTTTCTCTATTTCTCTTTTTCCCCTAGTTCTTACAGGTTTCGTTGTGTTTTTTAATCTAATAAAATAGAAAGATCCCTTTTGTCTGGTGTCCAGTCTAGGTTTGGGAGCAAGAAGTATTTATGAATACCTGAATATATTTGGGTCTTTATTTGATAGCATTTATTATGAGCTATCCTTTCTAAATTGTATTCATTCCTCCAACTAAATTATAAACATCTGAAAATTGCACACCAAAATACATCCTTATATTGACCTTCATATCACTTTACACTCACTCTTTTGAATACAACAGGCACCAAATGAGGAGGAACTGGCTGATTCTAGTCGAACTCCGATGTCTCGGACTGGGGCTTGTATGAAGGGAAGTGGAGGAGATGCCATGGCTGTTAATGACCACTAGAGGCTCTCAGGGCTGGGCAGGGTATGGGGGCTGTGTATATGTGATCTCCCACTACCCCCCACCTGGCCAGAGCTAAAATAATAAAATGCTGAGCTCACTGTTCCCCCACCCTCTCCCCCGGCACTGGGCTCCTCCTGCTGCTGGGACGGTGCTCTAGTAGAACAGACAGACCTACTGACACAGGGGAGGTGAGAAGGGAGGTGGCCACCAGAACTGGTAGGTGGGGGAGACAGGGGGCTTATGGATGAGAGCCCGGTGGGAGGTTGGGGGAGAAGAGTGGCTCCTATGTGGAATGATGTGGAGTGTGTCCCTGTCTCTGTTACTCTGTATATTTCTGCCACTGTGCCGTCCTACCCCTTAACTGTATATAGTTTACATTGTCGATGTGAGTGTCTCACATACTTTCTGGATCTTTCATATTCAGCATAGTGTGTACGTATAGCTCCTTGTGTGTATCTTATATTGTACAAAATTGTGTGAGTTTAATATTCCCACTGTTTTTAAAGAAACTTTACTCCATTTACACCTATTGGTCTAGTGTCACCTTCCTGTCCAAAGCAAGGGACAGATTATGGGGACTCAGTCCCTTCTCCAGAGGCCTTACTACCCTTCCCCCAACCTGGAAGTTCCCCAACAGCTCCGAGCCCTTGTTTTCCCTTAAGATTTAAAATTTTAGCAAACACAGAAAATGAAATCTTGATGCCCCACAATAAAAGGGAAATGAGAATGGGGTAAGAGACTGTCTCTTCCCTTTACACCCCATTTTCCTTGCTTTTTTAAATCCAGTTTAGGAAAAAGCCTGGATTATGAGGAGGAGAGGAGGAATTTCCCTGAAACTCTCTATTCCCCCGCCCCTCGCCCCCTTTCAATAGGAACTGGGCATGGGACCAGCTGTGTTGGCAGGGCTTCCAGCAGCTGTGTTAGGGCAAAGGCACTGACAAGTGAGGTTATAGGGGAGGGGTGCTGCCAGGATTTCTCTGTCATACCATGGGAAGACAAACCCAGCTTAGATGTCTAGGATCCTCATCCAGGGTGGCTGGAAGCTGGGGAAGCAGAAAGGAGACTCTAGTTCTAACTCTAAACAACCTAATCTTCTCCAACTTCCCATCTTCAACTAGATTTCTAATCTCCAAGAAATTCAATTCAATGTTCTGCCCCCTGGCTGGTCTCTTTGTGTCCCTGCTGTGCCCCTGTCCATCTTACCATTGTCCATCCTTTTGTTCCATGTTCCCCAGGCTCTGTGAGTGCCACACAGTGGGGAGGGGGTGGGGGCCACCATGTCATCATATCAGAAAGAACTGGAGAAATACAGAGACATAGATGAAGATGAGATCCTAAGGACCTTGAGCCCCGAGGAGCTAGAGCAGCTGGACTGCGAGCTACAGGAGATGGACCCTGAGGTAAGGGCTCTAGCACAGGGAACCAGGGGCAGTCCCAGGCATTTGGGAACGGTGTTGGGCTCTGGGTGGCTGAGAATAGGGTTTGCTACAGGACCTAGAGGCCTAAGAAGGCCAGGGGAAAGGTGTCTGGAGATGTTTTAGGGAGCCCTAGCAGTACCTAGGTCAGAGGGGAGGTCTGACTTGCTCCCCAAAACTCATCCCTAAGAACATGCTCCTGCCAGCTGGACTGAGACAACGTGACCAGACAAAGAAGAGCCCAACGGGGCCACTGGACCGAGAGGCCCTTTTGCAGTACTTGGAGCAGCAGGCACTAGAAGTCAAAGAGCGTGATGACTTGGTGCCCTTCACAGGCGAGAAGAAGGGTATGGGGACCCTGACATCCATGCTTCCTCGTAGAACCCAAGTGGCTATGCTGTCTCTCACTTGTCCCCCACTCCAGCTTTCCTCTCACCTTCCAGCTCCTAGTTGCCTAGGGACTCAGATGCCCTGACACTTAAATGCCAGCTTGCACTCTTCAGTTCTTGAGAGATCAGGGGACTAGGAGTCCTGAGCTTGTACAGGATTCAGGCTTTCCAATGTCCCCTCGTGACCCAGCATTCTACCTCCTGGAGAAGGAAAGAAACCTGGAGGCCAGGATCTTGGGAGAAATTACCTCTACCTGAACCATCCTTCATCTCCCTATCAGGGAAACCCTATATTCAGCCCAAGAGGGAAATTCCAGCAGAGGAGCAGATCACCCTGGAGCCTGAGCTGGAGGAGGCACTGGCACATGCCACAGATGCTGAAATGTGTGACATCGCAGGTGGGTAGCTGTGGGAAGTTGAGGGTGACAGGATCAGGGGCAGGCGGATCCTAGTCATGACATGGGATTAGTGAGGAAGGCCCTCAACCAGAATGTGGATGTCTAAGAAAGCCTCAAGCAGTAGTTTCAAGCTTTTCTTCTTTGTTTATATATTTATTCATTTTTAAATTTAATAACACCTCAAGAGCAATTTTACAGGGATTGTAAAAGCAAATAAAAGTGGAACCATTGGGCTGGGCACGGTGGCTCACACGTGTAACCTCAGCACTTGGGAGGATGAGGTGGGCAGATTGCCTGAGCTCGGGAGTTCAAGACCAACCTGGGCAACACAGTGAAACCCCGTCTCTATTAAAATACAAAAAACTGGCCGGGCGCGGTGGCTCAAGCCTGTAATCCCAGCACTTTGGGAGGC